GCAAGCGACGTATAAAACCTTTTAATATACCTACAGAATGAAATGGACACCTGCCTTTCCAGATCGTTTCGTCTTTTCTTGGCGCTGGCAAAATGAAAGTAAATATGAAAAACGGGAATTAGTATCGTTATATAGGTTAATAACTAGCTATTACAGCTGTTCAACCTGATAAAAAATTAGTTGTTGTCGAGATATTTTGGGCTTAGTTTGTGTGGTCAGTACTAATACTAACAGTTACACCTACGTGATGGTGAGAGAGCGATTGTCGTATGACCTTGAAATGAAAACGCGCAAACAAAATAAATAGAACGATTTGATTGGTTTATTGAACGGATGCAAACGCCCATGGCTGCGAACGGTCGGGTTAAAAATTTTATGCCCGTGAACTTTCTAGAAATCAACCGATACTTCGCTTTGACGTCATACTGCAACACGATTGGCTAATCGAACAATGCCCTTTCCATATTAGGGTTTTCTTTGGCGGGAGAACGAAGAGTCGATTTTTTGATCTTTTCAGCCATTAGCTGATAAAACAAATAACCAACACTTACCGAAACCATTTTTCAAGATCATACGAAAATCGCTCTAATCGATCTACATTGTATCAAATCTCAACCTGTGTGAAATTTATTGACGAAACCATCAGCCAAAATGTGAGAGAGAAACGTTCAATTATCATACACTGTGGAATAGCCTCGGCTTCGCCGCATGTGTTTGAAGGGTGAATTAAGGCGGGGGCCTTAATTTCCCATTTTTCTTCCCTTCAAGCACCTGTCACGCAGCTCGGAGTTTTTCTTATGAGTCTTCCAATCCATTGTTTGTTTTTTTTTTTGTTGCTAGTTTTTTAAATTGGACAAACGGAAAAGTTAGCTATTATTGGGGGAAGATATTAAGGCGTAAAATTATCTCGGAATTCCTTGCAAGTATTTTAAAATTCATGTCATTTATCAAGCTTGTTTTGTGTAATGGACACTAAGGAAGATTAAATCTTCGTTGTTAAAAATGCAAATTTTGAAAAATTTGGCTTCCAAATTTGGTTGCCAAGGTAATATAAATGTTGACGTCCACTCACGACAACTTTAAAAGGTTCCCAAATACTTTCTTGGGAAAGTCGCTAAGTTTGGCGGTCGAAGCCCAAACGATTTTTTTAAGTGAGAGGGACCTCAAGAGTCCCATAACCTGAATAGGGTTAAGTTCATCTTATTGTGGTGCTTATCAGGAGCCCGGGCTCCTCCGTTTTAGTAACTTCGGCCATATGATAAACCACAACACCGCAAAGTGTCTGCAATTTGTTTCGTTTAACCAAATATCATAGGTTTAAAATTAGAAACACCGCACCTCCGCAAGATGGGATTTTATTCACCGCAACGGCACACAAAACAAATAAGCGACACCGTGGCAACAACGTAAATCCCCATGTCCCCCTCCTAAATGTCATCGCGATAGATTTCTGATTGCTCAGATTCTTTGCTAAATAAAGTTTTGGATAAGAACAAACTTTCAGATAGTAGGTAGATGTTCAGTGCATTTTGCATTCATTTTATATTTGTCCGTCATCCGGTGGTAGAGACGGTGTAATGAATAATGATGTTCACATAGAAAATGATGAACAATGAAAATTGAGATTCAGAATTTATGAATAACACAGTCTAGCCATCAGAATAATGAACAATCATAAACTTCAGTTCGAGACAAAAACAATAAAAATAAAAATAAAAATGAGGGTAGCTGAAAAAGAACGAACATATCTTACTCCCATTTAGAGCGAAAATGACTTTAATTTAAATTCAAAAACCTTTGAATATTCAGTAGGCATATTGTCTATAGTAATCATATTTAATTTACGGATTCTTCTTGTGCAAGAAACTTTATACTTACTAAAATATATCTTACTGAAAAAAACAGGGGAGAGATTTGAATAGTCATTTGCACGATGGCTTTATTGTATGTACTCCAAGAGTTACAAAAATCCTAGACTGTTCTCTAGAAAAATAGGGGACAGTGAGCAGTCTACCAGAATACATTTTCTTTTTCTTATTTGAATTTGGTACGTAATCCCAGCGAATGTACATGCTGAAATAAAGCTGTTGAAAGCTGGTGATACGGAGAAGAAAACCTCGGAAAAATATGTTTAAAAAGCAGGATGTAGTATGAATGATAAGGCATTTCACTCATCAGCTGTTCGGTTATGGGTTTGTTGCTTATAAACAGTGTAAGAGTTTAAATTTTGCTTTTAGACTTTTTTTAAAAGACGCGATGTCTCATCACGTTGCAAGAAGCTATTGGAAATTTATCCAATTTAATTAGGGAATTTCATGCACGTATTTTAAAATGTCACATTGTAAATCTTACATTCTTGGTCTCATATACGATCTGCAGCTCGCGGGAACACGGTTGCTTAACGGCTTAGGGAAGATAATGTATAGATTTAGCCAGGGCTAAACTCGAAGCTCCCACTAATAAATTTATAATTTAAATCAAACAATAAACTTGTATTCCACAAATCAGTTAACTTGCGCTCATTCATGTGACTTTTGAGGGAAAGGCTAAGTGATTTTAGAGTGAAACAAATCTTACATCGCGTTGATAGCCTTATATGTACACCCAAAAAATAGTCTTCGGTCACATTTAAGAGCAATAATGGTTCTTGATCACAGTAGATTAAGCATGGAAAACAAATTCTTGTAAAACAAATCAGGCCGAATTTCTTGCGTTCGTCATTAAGTTTACTTTACAAAATCTTGCCAACAAATCTGGGTGCGTGCAAACCAACCTTTTATACTTTTTATACATCACATCTGAGGAGAAAGAGTTTTATGAGGCGCTGTTTTTATCATAAAGACCTCGTACAAAATGCAGTAGTTCACAATTTTTCAAGACAAATTGCATTCATTCATTATTCTGGACCATCAAAGCACGCGTGGACTTTTAGCGAAACGGCTCCAAAAATTTCCAAAATCACCTATACGGCCAGCCGGTTCTAATTTTTGACAAGCGCCAAATTTGCATTTAACTGTCTCTAAGAATCCCGAGTCTTTAAGCTTAAAGGTTAATTAAGTTTATGTTTTAAGCCGCCGGCTTCCCGTTCTTTGCTGTTTTCAAAGACGAACTCGGGACAAGAAAATCGCTCAAAGCTTTCTTTCTGCAGTCAAAATTATAACTGAATATTCTTCGGAAAGTTTTTTTTTCTATTCGCGGTGAAATATCGACTAAAGGCTTTTTAAAGTTCTGTAACTTATATCAAACCTCATAATAGTTCAGATCAGTGTCTCAAATCTTAATACAAACGAGCATAAACTAGCTTCATAAACTGCACTAGACTTCATGAAATTAGATATAAATACAATAATTACTCAGGCTTACCAGTGATTTTAAAAAGGACAGTGCATTTTTACTGAATTTTTCGAGGATGAAATCAAAAAGTTAACTTTTTAGCTCAAATCTTACTAGTACTAATAACAAATAATAATAATGATAATAATAATAATAGAACTAATGGAACGATAAGACAATAAACATAAAGAGTGTCTAGGTGCTTAATATTTACAAAGCCACTACTCATCGGAATTACTAACTGAAAGTCTGAATAAAATAGGCTAGCTTTACGTTATTCACTAACGGGGCGTTTTTTTGCTTCAAAACTGATCATGCTACGGCCACAAGAATTACACAAAAAATGTACTAATAATTTCCAACTTCCGAGTATAACTTGATTGGAACAATGACGTAATATGACGTCATATTGCTAAATTTCTTGGTAGAATCCAAATTTCCCTTAAAGTAAACTTTAAGCAAAATAATTAAAAAATACTTACATAGTAAGGTGTGTGATAAAATCAAGAAGTTGGCTAACACATGAATTATCTTTAACAGTTATAGCAGCTCAAACGCCCCACGGTATGAATAGGGTTAAATGATTATTCGACCCTAAATTAAACCGTATTAGCTAGAAAACGAAAGCCAATCAGAGCTTCCGTTTTATCACAGTCATCATCATAGTCCACCTACACTATTAAGGTGTTTTAGAGCTATTTAGCAAAGCATTTCATTGGTTTTATACCTAAGGACTTTCACTAGCTACAATTAAGAATGACGTCACTTTGCTAAAGATAAATAGGACAAGCAGAACAAATAATTCAAACTGCAGTCTACTTTTCACATTTGCTATGTCGGGCCTTCTAACTCGCTGAACTGCCACACAAATATAGTGCGGTGACTCAAACATTAGCTGAAGATAAAATGTTAACCGTACGTATTGAGGGATTATAGTTGATGGATTCTGCAGCGAAAGATTCAAAGATCCAAAAGGGGGGCCTCGATATTTTGCTCGTAGGTAGCCGCAGTCAGTCTTTTTTTCTGTTTTTTATTTTTTAGCATATAATCTACGAAACCTGAACTCTTGCGAAAGAATAATCGTCGTGGTTACTAGCATAATCAAGGTTAACGTTTTCTTTACTATTCGTGAAGTATTTCTAAGAAAATGACGACCGCAGTTTTCGTTTGAGACTGTCTTTTGCCCTGGTCGTACGTAAAAATATCTCCGATAATGACCTTTTCCTGTCCAAAGCAGAACCAAGGCTAGCAACGGTTTTGGGTTCGCTATCCTTTTCCTTGGTTTTGGGATCCGAAAATCAAACATAGGCTTGGTCGCTATGCACAGATCCTTTTGAGGAACTCTTATACATAGAATTAGTTGATTCTGAGGAGATGTTATCGTTAGAATCTCTCACTGGTATCGCTTGATCAATAGGGCAGATATCGGTATGATCGTCCTCCTCGAAGGCAGGGTTACAAAGCTCCGCTGGAGAGACGGAAGCCTTGGAAGAAGAATTCCAGACACTCGAACTGGAAGTAAATTCATTTAAAGTACGAAAGGCGCCGAACGTTTATCGATAGCAGACCATTTGCCACACTGTTCTTTGGTGTAAATTTAAGCTTAATCGGCTTGCTGCGTCCGCTTTGTATCGCCTTACGGTAGCTGTCCCGCATGTCAAACATTCCTAGCGGTACGTTAGGAGTACTGATCGCCAGTTTTCAAATCTTGATTCTCGCCGTAAGTAAGTGGTTCGTACCGTGCGTCCGTACGCACTCTTGCTGTAATCTGACAGCCGCACCTTTTTACAGCACAATCCGAGTAAAATCTTTCGAAACGCTCGCCGAAAATCTTTGTCGCCGAAGCCATAAATGACGGGATTACAAACCGAATTTTCGTACTGAAGCCACTTGTTTACCGAAAGAATCCACGTTGGCAAGGTCATAAGGCCTGGACAACCAGCTCCTTTGAACAGTGTGGCTATACAAAGCGCGAACGCGAAGTTGATGCCAATAAATGGAGTCCAGCAGATGACAAAAAGGCCAATGACTACGGCTACTGTTGTAGCAATGCGCAAATCCTGGAACAAAAGCAACATCGTTAAATTAATTGTGGCTTATAATAAAATCACTAAAGCATATCAAACACAGTCTGAAAAGAACGTCCATTTCAGTGGAATAAACGACAAATATTCTACTCGTCTGTGCAAAAATCCAGATCAACCAAAAGATGAGCAGAAAATATTAACGTGTTTTTGAAAGCACGAAAAGAAAGCAGAGAAAAAAAACAGCAACAACAACCAAAAAGAAAAGCGTCAGTGAAAATTATCTGACCAACGACAAAATTCTGTTTGTCTAAGCCTTCGTCAGTCTAACTTCTTTATAGTTTTTTTGTGGCCTCCCGTCAAGTGACCATCATATTGCGTTGTTCACTGTACGTTTCTTTGCGTTGCTCAAACCACCGTTGGTTAGTTGTCATTAGTAATGTTGTATGTGCGTGTACGTCACTCCATGAAACTGATTAAGAAGTGTTTGTTGCTAAGGAGCAAATGAGCTGTAAGTAATAGAGGTGTCTGTCAGAAGAGCTTTGACTATATCCCGGAAATCATTTGCCTCAGTTACTGTAAAACTGAACTGAATTAAGCGGTCACCTCCATTAGGCGGTTACGTTACTATTAGACGGTCACTTTGACAATATGTACCATACTAATCCAACACATACAGTTTTTATGGCGTTTATTGGTCTCTTACTTGCTTTTTTGGCACAAGAAAAGGCAGAGGCACTTTGAGGTAGTTTTGTCGTTGGTTCGCTCTTTCACCATCTTTATTTGCTTGAACAACTCTTAGGTTTGTCAAAGTTGTATTAAACCGTCAACCTGTATTGAGCGGTCAGTAAGCCATTCCCAAAGGATGACCACATGATACAGGTTTGACTGTATTTGTGTTTTTTAATAACGTTAGCTATAATTTTCATGAGATTGTAACATATTACCAAAACATGGACTATGATCACTGGCATTCAGCGCTGGGTATAGTCGAGAAAAAGCACTCGTGATAATGATCATACAGACAGTGAGGTCCAGTGAAAGAATTCCCCTGACTATCAATAGCAATGGCAATAACAATAGCACAGCAAAGTACCTTTTTGAACGAACTGACGCCTCTGCCTCGTGCATGCGCTCTAGCTATGTGAAAGATCGTACCATAAGCTACCAAAATAACGATGAGTGGTGTGAAGAAGAATGCGACAGTTACAATTATGCCATAGAATTTCTTTTGTTCAAAGGGTAGAAATTTTATCATTGATCCAGCTAATGAGGACAGAATACATACAACGACGATTATGGCAACCACAGACCCCGTAAACAGCAAATAGACAAATGGCCAAAAGGTGACTTATAACTTATTGGACGGTTTAGTATGTAAAATCGTGAGATATTTTTACTAGCCTGCGTAGCGAGCGTTTCCAATCGAGTTATGGCGCGAAAGTTAGAGCGGGAGCAAAAAAAAGGGGGGATAGGAAAGGGAGGAGAGGAAACGCTTGCCCGCAAACCCCACGATTCTGGAAAACGCCCTTGATATTTCACAGTTCGATTCATTTGTAAATTGACAGCTCGTCAAAATAGAAGTATAACGAACAGATTACCCCTGGATTACCAGATTTGTAAAACTGCTTTGTTCTCTAATAGAACAAGTTCCAGGCGATTGCAAAAACTGTAATAAAAAAGCTTTACGAGAAAAGAAGGTTAAAACTCTGAGCGATTGCTTCGGAATTTTTTGTTTTTTATTGGGTGGTTTTTATCTCGTCTGAAACCTTGTCGAAACGTCAAAAATAATTTGTCCGCAACAATTCACCCCGCCGGTTAAGTTTTGCAGAGCGGCTACTCTTCAGCCCGTGTCGAAACGTTCTCTACAATACATGCCGCTGAATTTCCAATAAACAAAAAGAGTCTTTTCATTTCAAAAAGCTGACAAATCACTCGTCCATGGCGGCTTCATATAGCCAGGGTCGAGTACCGATGTTCTGATTTACGTTGATGCCTGTCTCCAACAAACAGTCCATTTTTTCCAGTCAGATCCGCACGCCCTCATTCCCAATAAATTAGCCTTCCCTAGTCTCCACTGCTCGATCTCCCATTACACTTTAAAAACTCTGATCTCATAAACCTTCGCACAAACACGATTCAAATCAGTCAGTAACCGTGGTAGGACTAGCTCAGTCGGTAGAGCGTTTGACTGCAGAGCGGGAGGTCGCGAGTTCGATTCCCGGGGCCGGACCATTACTCAGGGTCTTAAAATGACTGAGAAATGAGGGTACTTCCTCTGCACTGCTAGCGGCGAGACCTTCGCGTGGCTCGGGTGACCACGTAAAATGGCGGCCCCGTCTCCATTAGGAGACGTAAAAATAGTGTCCCCAATTAGCACTTTCGTGCTAAATACATTGACACTCAAAAAAAAAGTGCATTTTTATTTTAAGTCCAAAGCATTTGTAATCTACGACCACAAATCAGATATGTTTTTTAAAATCGTGGGGTTTGCGGGCAAGCGTATCCTTCTTCCCCCCTCCCTCCCCTCCCCCGTCATTCCTTTTTTTTTTTTTTTTTTGCTCTCGTCCCAACTTTACTCGACGAACTCGCGCGGAAACGCTTGCTACGCAGGTTAATTTTTTACGTGTCATGTTGCATTTTGCTACTGAGTCAGAAGGGCGCGATACCACACACTAAAACGTTTAATAGAAGACCGGACTCAGGGAAGTGGTGGTAATCGAGCCGAAGGATATGTCTGCAAAATACGAGATAGCCTTTAGTGCCGAGGAAAAACCATCTGGGAAAATTATGAACGGTAACGGCACAGAACTATAACAAGCCCGGTTTACACACATCGAACATCGCCGCTGCGATTGACCGAGAGGATCTGCACCAAATTCCAATCCTCGCTCTAATTATTTACTTCAGTCTCAGTAGGTTCCAGTCCTCGCTTCGACGAAGAGCGGCCGAAACGTCTTTGACATGTGACGCCGGGTCCACTTTTTGACACTTCCAAGACCGGAGAAGAAGTCACCGTATCATGTGTGAACAAAAGCCCTATCCGGTTAATTATTCATAGTGAGAAATCATTTATAGGCTTTATCCCGCTAACTTGAGAGAGTCAGGAATATAGTGAAATTTCGGTTCATCAAAGAGGTCATTTTGTTTCAAACCGGACCCAACCGATTTTATTTAATTCCCTTTATAAACGCAAAAATTAGACCAAACTAACCCTCTTTTGTTTACTACGATACAATACTCTATCAATGTAAAAAGTATCAGCGAAAACGAATTTTGAGCTGTGTCCACGATTTTGGGATTATCTCCGATTCTTACTGACATTGACTCTTAAAGCGTTAAAAGGGCTCAGACCACTAACTATGATCTGATGTAATATGAAATCGACATGTTCGGTTTTCTGACGTTCTTTACCTTATTAAGTACCAAGCACAAGAAAGACAAGACGTTTGTTACCGGCCAACTAGTAAACTGATGAGTGATTGTTCTGTTAACTCTAATTTTCATGGCTTGGCCGGTAGCAATGGGAGAAGTTGGATTAGCGACCTTAGCAAAGTCTAAATTCTGTCGGCGATAAATAACAACAACTAAATACTTACGAAACTCCTCTTCAATATTTAGTACATCCAGTCGGAGAAGGGTAACTGCAGCTTGTTACATTCACTACACTGCATATTTGTAAAATCAAGCAACTTATCGCACATTACTGAAACAAGTTAACACAGATAAAAATCGATACTAACGGAAAGTTGGCCACGTTAAAGATAAGACGTTTTTTCTATAAAAAACACTGAGAGGGCTTTTCTATCTCCGTATAAAGTGGACAACAGAACTAGAACGATAGGAAAAGGGAAGAAAAAGAGCAAGAAATAAAGCTCGAAATAGATTCTCAAAAGAAGTTCGAAATCTGGCTTATGCGCATGCGCCACAACAATCATCAATCATCATCCCAAGCTTTGTGGGACCGTCTTGTGACTTTTTTTTGTTTGTTTGTTTGTTTGTTTTTCTACGGGGTTTTTTATGTTCACAGGATACACTAAGCTCTTCTGGGCCCTCTGCGTCAGCCAAGTTTGCGCGATCTTTCCTGCATGCCGAGAGCTCACTGGTGCTTGAAGCTCCCTTGTCCCTGCAGGTTCAAGGTGACCAGGAGACGGCCCCCACATGTCAAACTGAAAACGAAGCTTCATTTCAGTGCTGACATCCAATTACCAGGAAAATACGTCCTTAAAGCTGCAAATCTCATTTTTAGTGATTTCCGTGCTAATTGGCGGAAAAAAAAAACACAAAAAAAACAAAGATAATGAAGTAAAATGACTTTTTTGTAATATGTATATTGTGAAGGAAGGTTTTTCCACTTTGAAACAAATTAAAAGCTCACCGACAACTCGGTGCTTAACGCTCGATAAAACTGGGGGAAAGAAGACTCAAATAGCAATTCGCTTTGAGGGGGAAAGCCGTCACATCTGTGTTATAGGACCGGAATCAAAACAACTAACTGGTACAGCAGTAGATAAAACAGAACTGAACTTTGGTTCCAACATTCCCAGTTTATTCTCATTCTCGGTAAATTAACTGGCCATAACTCTGGCTATACACGGCGAGCAACGTAATCAGCTCTAAAATCCGCAATGTGATCAGCAATTTAATCGAAAACAGTAAAAACTAGCTTACTTATATATGATGTTTACAACCCCTGAAGACAAAAGAGAACAATAGAAATCCAAACAGAAATCGCTTAATAGTGTTAGACAGGAGCCCATCGTGGGCTCCTGAGTTAAATGAAAACTAAATACAAAATCTATTTTTAACTTGAAGTCTTTTGTTACTGTTGCTATTTTAAAAAGTAAAAGTACTGAAACAAAGAACTAGCCAGGTCAGCAAAACAGCAAATATGTACATGTACAGAGCATTACAATGTGAATAAAATTGCAAGTTCAGCTAGCGGCTGTTTAACCAGGAAGAAGCGCACATTAAAAAGGACAAGTCTACCTCTGACTAAATTTATATAAACATGGCTTCAGTGAGTGTCTTCAGGTCCTCAGCTAAGTATGTCCTTGGTAAAAAAAACTTCACCCTCCCCAATCAGGAGACTGGATAACCCCCTGAGCTCTACAATTATCATGATAATTATTGCCAGCAGAGGCCTGATTCAGCTGGCTAGGGCAAAGTAAGAACAAGGTACTTGTCAGTCAACCCTCTAGTAAACACTGCTCCTTACTGAAGGGGTGGTGTCAAAATAGCTCTCTCTCTACCCCTCTAGTTTTGCCCCCCAGGCCTGATCCACCCACCCACTGTTAGGGCTATTCGCGTGTGCCGCCGACCAAGATGCCAAGCCCCCCACATTTTTGGAGACCACACTGGCCTGGTGCTCGGCGCCAGGCGAAAACCTTGTGGCCACGTTTTAACGAATTCAGACAGCAGACAGACATGTATAATAAAAAACAAGCTAGCAAAACTTTTCATATTCAAAACTCGGCTGTTGCCTCTATGTAACTAACAATTTAATGAAATACATATTGTTAAAGAAATATAGCTAAATTGCAATTAAAACTAGCTACACCTGTGTAAAAGGCTTTACAAACAGTTGAGTCGTATTCTCACTATTGTCTCAGATATATGTAACTAAAAACTCACAGGCCCCCAGGTTTATTCTGAGAACTACTATTGTTCTATAGGATTACATGCAGTTTCTTTTCACGGGTTCTTTTAGAGATGTTTCGAGAATCTGACTTGCTACCTTACACAGTGATTATTCTGCTGTGTTAGGTCGCTCAAGGTGCTTCGTTTCTTGGGGAAGGCATGGCGACTGATAGTTTCTATGTAAAGTAGAACATGCAGTGACTTACTACTCGACAAGGAAATGCAAATAGCACAGTCAAAGAATCCAGAAATGCTTTGCGAAAACGCCTGTTTAAAACGATGTAAAAGAGAGGATTTATTGCATTGTACTATTTGCGTGCCCCAGCCAAAAATTGAACATCCGGACCGCGATGGGAATTTTTTTCCAAACAGCCGGCTGAAAAAACTTGAAGTAGTGATTTATGTAACAAGGTAGCCAGCATAAGGCGAATCCGACTACGACGATGGCTAACATTCTGATGACTTTTCGCCTCGCAGCTTTCGAGGCTCTGTTACTGGAAGCATTCCCTGGAGACTTGTGAAACCAGACTCTACGAGCAACGAGCCAGTTGACTAGAGCTGTTATTAGCAGTCAGGGGGGGGTACTCCCTAATATGGGCTATATAGGTATGTGCGGCCCCAAAGGGTAGGGTTTTTCAGCCGTTTTGGTCATAAATTGGGTATCGATTTTGGCTATTTTGCCGCCTTTTTGGTCATAAATAGGGTAACGATTTTTGCACTGTAGTCTTGAATGCACCTTTTTAGAAGAAGCTACTTCCTTATCGTGTCCCCCTAACCTAATAAAAGCAGATAAACATTGCCTTTAACATTGGTCTGAACTAGGGAAATAATTAAAAGGCAGGTCTGAAACAGGGTATTGATTTAAGGGTCAGGTCATAAATAGGGTATCAAATTTTTGGTTAGGTCATAAATAGGGTAGGGAAAATCGCAGATTTTGGTCATAAATAGGGTAAGGGTTTTGGGAAGCGGGCCGCACACCCCTACCCAATTTTTCTATGAGTACCCCCGGGTTAGCAGTGGAAGTGCATAAAAGACAATAAAGCCAAAAATGTGAAAAGCTCTCATGACGAGATATGTTTCTATGATGTTCTTGGACCATGGCCAATCGGGGAGGCAAACATAATGATCGCGGAATTTCTCAACTTGGTACAACAATAAGTATGGCGAACCAGCGAGTAAAGAGACGGACCATATTATCATTGTGATCGTCTTATGTTTATGGAAGAGGGTTAGTTTTAGCGGGTAATAGATAGCAAAGAAGCGATCGATGGAGATAATAGTCAATGTTATCACAGAAGCGGCGATGGAGACAAGTATGGCATAGCAAAACAGTTTACACGTGATAGTTCCCATTAATCCACCGAACCAGCGATCGAAATACATGAGCAACACAGAGTAAGGCATCACTGTCAGGGTTAGAATTAAGTCAGCAACTGCTAAGTTCTTGATCAGCAGATAAGTGATTCGTTTCGAAGATGTTTTGGCACTCACCACAACCTGCAGACCCACAGAATTGCCTAATAGGGATATTACAAAGATCGTTATGTACGCAAAGGTGAATCCAGCTTTGGTTTCCGTGGTGAATCCAAATTTGATTTCCGTTGAGTGCAAAGGGACTAATATGACGTTATTCATAAGGGTTCTTGTTTGATTGTTGAAATTCATTCTACAAAAACAAAATAAGCCGCCAGAAAACGTTATTATTAGTACAATTTAATTTAAGCTAAAGAAATAACGTATTAGCACCTATTAATTTAAAACCCCTGTGTATATCCCCAAGTCCTGGCCGAAACCAAAATTTATTCGGCATGGATACATTATAATCGCTATCCTATTTTCAGCCTCACCACGAGAGTTATTTAAGACTACTCGGCATACTTGTTAGGCACGTGCAGGAGAATTTTTTCGCCCTTTAAAGTTTGTGAATTTGTTAAAATTTTCTCCTCAGTGATACAAGAGGATCGAATGAAATTGGTAAAGTAAACTTTGGGGGCTCTGCTGAAAACTCTGCTCGAAGAAAGCTCTCAGTCCTGCAAGAGCCAGACTGGTACACGGCGAACAGTCGAGTTTACAGGTGAACTCCTTTTTATGAGATAAGGAAAGCAGCCCGATAGATGCTGACCTCTGATTGGGCACAAAAACAGACAAGCATTCGAATATGTCGTAGAACTGGTTCGTTAATAGTATTATCCCCTGGGCTCTCTTGCCCGTTCTTGAAAACTTTAGCCGCCTTTTTTCCTGACCCAACTGACCAACCCTTGGGTCGCCGAATTCAGCTATTCCCGAATGAAAGAATTTTCACAGTCAACCGGTTTCTTCGAGTAGAGGGTCGCTAAATCTAACTGCAACGCCACGTTGAAAAAAAAACTCAAATAAAAGATGGCTAAAATCATTTCAAGATTTTTTTTTTCACGTAAAAAAAAGTAACATGCATAGACTTTATAAATACTTAGTAAAAGAGTAGTTCTTTTCAGTTAATTATAACAGTCACAATTATGACGGACGTGACGTCATTTGACATGGCCTGAACTGTGAAACAGCTCACCATTCTCTCTTTAAGGTCTGGCACCTGAAAGTAACTTAGAAAAAGCTTTCGCGGATATGGTTGTGGATGCAGTAATGCACATCAGGGCCAAAATAAGAAAGTGCAGATTTACAACTGATACCACAGTTAAGGTACATTCAAAATCATGCTAGTCATTGTGCTGAACATATATAAGTAAATATATAGATTTCTTATCTGCGAGTTAAAGGTTGCCCAAGCTGAGGGAATCCGGAATCCGGGAAATTTTTGCTTGTAGAATCCGGAATCCAACAAATTTTTGCTTCGGAATGCGGAATCCTGGAAAATTTTTGAATCCGGAATCCGGGTAATTGTGCTTGAGAAATTTTTGCTTCGGAATTCCGAATCCTGGGCTTTGGAATATGGAATACTGCTCAAGGAATTGGGAATCCTACTAACGATTCGAATCCGGAATCGGTACGTTCCATTGACAAAGTATTCGGTTCGAATCCAGTACCTGGAATCCGAAATCCATGGCCTGGAATCCAGAATCCAAGACTGTCTCGAATTCCCATACATGGGTTGGTAAAGGGCTCGTCAGTTTTTTTGCAACATTTTCAGTTGTTATTTCTACATCACAAGAAATCCGTCTTATTTATCATACACATGACGATTTCGACATTGCTGATCCTAGCAGTACGCAGGACGCATGTCATACATGAACCTTGTATACGGCCCAGCTCGCCCTTCGTAGCTTAGTGGTTAGAGCATCCGACCGGTGTGCGGAAGGCCATAGGTTCAATTGCTGTCGGGGACTTATAATCTTTTTTGTCCCATGTTCGTGACATTCGAGCGCTGGGGAACTCCAGATTTCAATACTTCAGTATCAGATAACGTTCCTGCAATGTTGACACACTGTCGACAGTGTAACAGGTAGCTTTTGATTCACATTAATGCACGCAAGAAAACCTCAAATGGTACTAAGTTAACAATTTACGCTCCAAAATCCATATTCAAAATTTCCAAGCTGCACTCCTTACATTTCCCGGCTTAAGGATTAGTTGAGTATTTGATAAGCATTTTTCTCAGGTGATCATTTCATAAATTTTCGAAACCATTTGGACATTGTTAGGAGAAGATTGATGTTGGTCTATATTGGGACTTAAAGGGTTAAGCTACGGTAAAATGGGCAAAACAAACTTGCAACTTGTTTTGAAACATTGCTGTAAAACGAGTTGGAAAGCGATACACTCACGGTTTCACCACCTACGTTCAAACCTGTTTTGTAACAAATCAGCGTGTTGTAAGTTGCGTGAATACTGACCCTGAGTGGATAATGATTGGAGTTACTTGCTGCAAAACAAGTTTGCCTTTGGCCGGTAAAACGGGCAACATGTGCAGATTTTGTTGGAAGAAATAGAACTTTTCTTTACATTCTGCAACAACTTGATTTGTCGCAAGACTGGCTTAATCCGAGGGTAGTAAAACGCCCAATATCGCTATTCAACTCGTTTTACAGCAAGGTTGCAAAACAAGTTGCACTTTTTGTTGCTCGTTTTACTGTACCAAAAGCCATTATGGCCCTTGACCCTATCTCACACTTAATATGGAAAAACAACACTGCGGGAAGTCATAGCAAACTTTCTCTCCCCAGTCTCCTATTTCGTGGACTCCTACACTAGAAGCTGATTATTCACAGGCTGATTATTCTCCAATAGTTAATTAAAGACGTGAAGCCTGAGATTTGCGTTGTAAAAGCCGAAATAAGGCATCATTTTTTACACCAAGGGGCATAAAATGTACATGGAATTTTCTTTCACGAAAAATTACTAAAAGAATTTCAAGGAGCTCTGCCTAATGATCTAAAGAACCATGAAAAGATTTTACAAGCCAATAGTGGTGGCACTGCCCAATTTTTTTTCAGTTTGCTCAAGGCAGAACCTGAGATAAGGGCGGGGCCCCGTCTGAAAAAAAAATTTTTTTTCGGCCCTTCGGGCCTCATTTTGGTCTAAAAATAAGGGGGGGCGGGGGGAGCCGGGCCCCCGGGCCCCTCCCCTGGATCCACCATTGCAAGGTTTCTTTACCCACATTAAGACAGATTCCACTAGAAAATTAAGTAATTTGAATTTTCATTGAACAGAAGCATTGTACCAGGATAATTTAAAGAATATTGCATTCTTTTTCACATTTTTCAGGGGTTAGAGATGTAATTAGTTATCTGCAATAACACCAAAGAAAATTTCTTACGGGAGCCCGAGAAATAATTGTCAAATTTCACAAAATGACATCTTACACATAAAATTTTCCGAATTTTACCCGTGTTTTCAAACTTAGCCAAAAGCAAATTTCAACCAAATGTCGAAATTTCATATTGTGAAATTTTGAATGACCAATAGCATCATATGTAAGAACAGGCAGAGACCTTTTATTTGAATGGTCACATCATAGGATTTCGTCCACAGACCCAAAAGTTAGAAACACCTTACAAAACTCCATCAAGCACTCTAGCAGTGAAAGAGTTAAAACTGGTATTTTTTTTTCTCTCCAGCTTAGCTATGCAGATATTTCTTTCTTTGACTTTATGAACAGCTGGGTTGCAAAAGACAAGATCAACGATTACCCAACCGAATTGGAAGATTTTCCTTTGTTACGAGGGCTTTACGAACGCGTCCGAGACATACCAGCCGTTAAGCAACGTCTAGAGACCAGGCCAGATACAGCTCTGTAAAAGAGTGGAATACTACTGCATTTATTCGAATAAGCGCCCAACCGCGAATTAGGGCCCACCTCTAATAAGCGTCCACCACCACCCCCAACCCCTCCTCCCACTCAAACTCAAATAAGCACCCACCCCCACCCGACCCACTTGAGTGACAATGAGATTGAAACTGAAATTGAATAAGCACTAAAAAGAAGACTTCCCGAGGACGGAGTTTTCTTCAGAGTATTTTACAGAAACCTTCCTTTGTTACTTCTTCGCGTTTTGTTATTAGCTTTTATTGTTTTGTTGTAAAATAAACATACTACACTTGCTGAAAATTTAATAGGCGCCCAATAAATACGGTACTCCCTATAATGGCCTATACGGGGAGGTTTCGACCCGGGTACGTTTTTTAGGCCTCACGGGTATACATGAAAGTGGTAGGGAATTTACGAGTTGAGTATACGAAAGGAGAGGGAAATCTGTCATAAGAGTATTAAAAAGGACTTTTAATTAAAACGTTCCGAAAATGCGTGCCTTATGGTTGTCATTCTAATTTTTATAAACGTTAAGTTACACGAAGACTTCCCTTTGAACGACGTTTATTATTACATTATTATTCCACTATTATGTCATTTTACCATATAAGGTCAAGAGAACGCGCAAAATACGAGGCCGTAATACACTGTAGTGTCGTAGTTTAACCGGTTTACAACAGGGCGAATACCGGCGAATGCAAAAGGAGCAACTATGGCTGACAGAATCAAGATGTTTTGGATACTCTTACTATAAAATAGAAGCCAACACAACATTTTTCTTTTACATTAAAAAAAAATTAACCTCTCATAATAACAATTTGTTTTTTTAGTGGAATAATAAACCTCTTATTCGATGGTTTAGCACATAATACGAGCAGACATTTTGCTCATTGCTAGTATTTCTCCTCGCCAATGCGGGGCTCGGAAAAATATAACGCAACTCGCAAAATATCCGCACGAATTATATGCTAAACCATCGAATAAGGTGTATGTATATATGTTAAAGGGGTACCATTTTTAATGAAAGGTATACAAAAGGGGTCCTAGGCCTTTTCCTGTCAAGAAATGGTATAAACAGCGCGCAGCCCATAACCCAGAGCGAGTAACTGCAATACTAGGCGTATGTCACGGCGTTTCACGGACCAGTTTATTTTTAGGCACATTTTAGGGCACTTTTTCCCGCGAAAATAGAATCTCCGCCATGTCTATAAGCGCATTCGAAGTATATAATAACAAAGGAAAACTAAACGTTATTAAAAGGCAAAAAAATATCATTTTTTAATTAGGTCTGTAGGTTTTGCTGACTGGT